TCTACGACTGACTTGCAACTATAACATTAAATCAGGTGACAGGACCTTGGATTGATCAGACAAATGCAGAAGAGCCACCCATAGTTTAATTTTCTTTCCTCTTTCAGTATTTTAGACAAAGTCGACACAATGCACAGAAAGCCAAAGGGGAAGCTGAACAGTTACGAGAACTGTGTGTCACAAACCTTTGGCTGAGTCACTGTAGTTTGTTATCAATGTCAAAAATAAGGAAGACAGGGAGTGTGTGTGTCTGGAGCAGAAGTGTTTGTGTAATGAAACGGGTGAAATGAAAATGTTTCTGAAGCAGTTTGTCTCTCCATGACTATGAAGGCCAAATTGTTTTCAATTATGTGAGTGAAAAACCACCTGTCAGCTAATTTCAGTGTCTGGTGGGATGGAAGAAAGAATATTTTTCATAGTAGTACTTCGATATATTATTTTGACATAATTAGTATTTTCTTTTTATGACCCTTAAGACTACCACAAAAGCAGTTCCCCTGAGCTTCAGAGCGTTTTAATATCTTTCAGCTTAATGTTTTGGTTTTAACGCCACAAATGTTTCTTGGTTAAAATTAAATGTATTTGTATCGGGAACCTAGAACACTAACCTATTCATCTCAAAAAAGAACAAAATGCTTTGTAACAGATTTAGCTAAATACTAATACTAATACCGTGTTTTATTCTTATAGAAGTAAGAAGAGAAGTAACGGGGCATAAACCCTCCTTTTTACGCAGCGGTCCAGACATAGACATCAAACGGCGACACATATTCAGTTGCCAGTTACTTTGGCCTTAGGGCAGGGATATCTAGATACTTTCCAAAGTTTGACATCATGAATTGTGCTACTTTTAAAGCAAGCAACGATGTTTTCAAATCTGTAATCAAAAAGCTCCTCAAAAACGCTATCGACGCAGTTCCTGCCGTTGCTACGTTAGTTCAAACAGTAACAACGGACTATTTTTCTTAGCGGATGCATGTCAATTTAAATCAATACATAAAACTATTTTTGAATAGATAATGGCCGTTCACACACACACACACACACACACACACACACACACACACACACACACACACACACTATATATCATTCATCATCATGATGAATGATGTCGGGCTCCTGATCAGCCTGTCGGTGTTCTTTTCCCCATAATGACCGCGTCGCTGCACATTATCCCTTACATATGATTATATAGAGTCATTATTCATTTGTTTTAAAGCAGGAGGCGCAAACGCTTGCCTCGGGAGGGAGAAAAAGAGCCACAGCGGAGAATAAACAGAAGGGCAACCATGGCAACCATGCGCAGGAAGTCTTCTTCGCTGCTTTTGTGGCAGACTACAGCGCCACTTACAGGCCTGGCATATGTACTACAGCGTCTCCAGCGCTTTCGAGCGGCAATGGCCGGCTGTGGCCCAACCTCTCATTCCCCTGATAGGTGGAGAATTGACCACTAAGCGGAGCACCCCTTTTGTGACGTAGGAAAGAATTCAAGTCCGGATCAGTCTGTGGCCATGTCTCAATTCAGGGGCTGGACCCTTCGGAGTGAGAGGGGTCTGCCTGCAGACCTCCACTCTCAGGACAGTTCCGGTGCAGACCTCCACTCTCAGGACACTTCCACTCTCAGGACAGGAAGTGCACGCTAAGAATTCCAAAATAAAATCACCACTATCAGTACAGTGCCACTTTCCAAACAGGAAATGCACGCAAATACAAAATAAAATCGGATCTTGACACTTATTATATACATATGTATATATCTATATATATATATATATATATAGATATATACGGACACCTTGTATTGTTGTTACTATCAGTACAGCCGCAGCGCCACTTTCCGAACAGGAAATCAATTCAATTCAATTCAAAACCTTTATTTATCCAGGTAAAATCCCATTGAGATCAATGATCTCTTTTTCAAGGGAGACCTGCAGCAGTAGGTTCCACAAGAAGACATAAACAACAGAACAACAAAAGGACATCATACAGCAAAATGTACAGGGATTACAATTTACATATTTAACCACATGTACAGGTACCAACAGCATCTGATTTTGTAGCATCCAAACGAGCTTTAAAAACATGTAGTGGTACTAGCTTGGTAATTTTACATTCTTTTTGCAGACTGTTCCATGTTAGTGGAGCTGCACATCTAAAAGCTTTCTTCCCTAAGACAGTCCTAGCACTTGGCACATTTAATAAAACCACAGCATGCGATCTCAGGCAATAAGTACTTTCAATTTGCAGAGAGATCAAGGAGCAGATATAAGATGGTAGTTTATCCAACATGGCTTTGTAAATGAAAAAGTACCAGTGACTGAGCCTCCGTACAGTAAGTGATGGCATAACCGCCTTGGTATACAGGGTACAGTGATGCGTAAGTGCTTTACAATTTGTCAAAATTCTCAGTGCACTGTGATACGCAGCATCTAACTTGCTCAGGTAATTGGCAGGTGCATTCATATATAACAAAGCACAGGTAAAAAGGTCACAGTGACTAGCCTTTTCCTGGCCTCAAGCGAGAAACAGGACTTATTTCTGTAAAAGAAACCTAGCCTAACCCTCAGCTTTTTAAGCAGGTTATTGACATGAAGTTTAAAAGTGAGACGGTCATCAAGCCAGATACCCAAGTATTTGTAACGGGTAACCACTTCAAGTTGTATTCCTTGCGTAGTTACAATATCCAAAGTAGTCTCTGGTGTATTTTTAGCTTTAGCTTTCGAAAAGTGCATTACCTTGGTTTTATCCACATTTAAAAGAAGCTTAAGCTCAGAGAGCTGAGCCTGAATAATGTTAAAAACAGCCTGTAATTTAACCCTAACCCTAACCCTAACTAACAGCCTCGTTAATCGAGGGACCTGCACAGTAGATAACGGTATCGTCCGCATAAAAATGTAAGGTTGCTCCTTCGACATTTTCACCTAAACTATTAATATAGATAGAGAATAATAGCGGACCTAAAACTGAACCTTGTGGTACACCATTAGTGATGTTTAGACACTCAGAAGACAGCCCATCAAACTGAACACATTGGGACCTTTCAGAGAGGTAGTATACAAACCACCCCACTGCATGGCTGGACATGCCTATACTGACCAGCCTTTGCTTCAAAATGCGATGATCGACAGTATCAAAAGCTTTGGATAGGTCAACAAATAGAGCTGCACAACTCTGCTTATTATCTAAAATACTCGTAATATCATTTACCACTTTCATTGTGGCAGTGATGGTGCTATGTTGCTTTCTGAAGCCTGACTGATGTTTAGACAGGATGTCATTGTTACATAAAAACACCTTTACCTGTTCACTCACTAGGCGTTCAAGAACCTTGGCCAGAACTGACAATTTAGAGATGGGTCTATAATTGTTTAATAAGGTGGCCTCCCCTCCTTTTAGTAGTGGCAGGACATAAGCTGACTTCCATACTTTTGGGATTTTGTTCGTGCTGAGAGAGAGGTTAAAAAGAGTAGTAAGAGGTGGAGCAATAAAATCTGCAGCTATCTTTAAAAAGAAATGCACGCAAATACAAAATAAAATCGTACTGACACTTATTATCTATATAGATATATATTTATTTATATATATAAATACGACATCTTGTATTTTAGTTACACCCGCTAGACAACAGTGGAAGGTTCGAGAAACAACCGTGTTTGCCGGGTGCACCGTGGCGGAGGTGGGGAGGTTCCAGCTGGGAAACTTCACCCCGCTGCGGGACCCGTGGGACCCCATACGGTGCGTCTTGGTTACGCTTCATATCGGCCAGCCCGGGAAGGAAGAGACACGCAGAGTGGGGGAAGTCCCCCACCCTAACGCAGCACACCCTCCCGGCCATCAGAGTCGAACCCGCAGTTCGGAGGAACCGACCGCCAGAGCACCGGCACTAGGCCGGGCCGGCGCGGAGGGCCTCCGACAGTGGGTCGCGTTTGCCATTCGATCAGTGAGAGGTAGGGTTGCCAACCGTCCCGTATTAGCCGGGACGTCCCGTATTTGAGCCAAAAGTGGCGTGTCCCGTACGGGACTTTGTTTGTCCCGGATTCCCGTGTAAAGGGAATAATAACAAATATGTTTTTGTTTGCGCGCAATGCAGTGTGTCTGGCTGCGTGCCTGTGTGTTTGTGTGCGGTATGAGAAGGGCACTAGGACCGCTCAGTTGACAGGGCAGGCACAATGCTCGCACGTGTGTGTGTGAGATTTTCTCTGGTGGGCAGCGGGCGCGGCATCATTGTTTGTGTGGCATGTCAGCCTGTTCAGTCGTGTGGGAAAATGAGCGCTGCCGGTGGAGGAGGTAATAATGAAAGAGGAGAAGAGAGAGAGGATGTGGTTCTGGGCCCTGGCCCTTCTAAAAAGAAAAGACTTGTGTCTTACAACAAACAGTGGGAAAAAAAACACAGTTGGGTAAAGCCCGTGAGTGGAGATCTGTCTCGGGTCTTCTGTGTGTGTGTGTGTGTGTGTGTGTGTGTGTGTGTGTGTGTGTGTGTGTGTGTGTGTGTGTGGTGTGTGTGTGTGTGTGTGTGTGTGTGTGTGTGTGTGTGTGTGTGTGTGTGTGTGTGTGTGTCAGCTGATTGATGGGAAAATGCTGGGAAAATGGTTGGTTGAAGGATAACATTAAGTCTAATAATGATGTACCGTGCATGTTCACATCATGTATACTTTGCATTATAGGCCGCAAGGTGAACCTCGAAAAGTCCTTTAGAAAAGAAATCCCGCTCCACAGAAGTGAAACTACACAATCTTTAGTTCATAAAAAAGAACGATTCATGCTTATCCACCAAAAAAAATTTCGTCGCTAAAATTCCTGCCAATTCTTCTAGGCACGTAATTATTGGCTGAACTAGTCCCTTCGAAGCGTAATAATATCTTGGTCCAAAGTCGTGCCACGGTTCATCACGTGATCGTGCTACACCAATTGGGTAGCTGCATATTGTCAACAGAAGTGAAAGATGGCGGCCGCCATGGTTTCATCGAGTAGCGGAGACGAGGAAAACGCAACAGAAAGTCTCAAAAAGTCAAAATTGTCAACACACAAACATTGTTACATGCATATTACGTCTGTGAAGCACGAAAAGGTTGATTGTTTTACCAATACAAGATGGAATACGTACAGGACAAGCTTACAACGGTCGCTCGGCTTGAAGGGAGACTCTCGGAACGTGGTGGCTGAAAACCACAAGCACTGTCTTGATTTCGAGTTCGAAGATATTCCTGAGGACGCTGGCTTCCACCATACATGCTACATAAGGTTTACCGACACAAAGGCCATGACGAAGGTGGAAAGACGGCTCGCACGTGAGGGAGATCAAGACGTTAGGGAGGACCTTGAGGTCGAGCCCATCCCATCGACGTCTCGCAGCACGTACCGAAGCCAAACAGAGAAGCTACGATCAAGGTCAGGCCTGCCAATCGCAGGCTCTGGCCCCGTCCTTCCTGCCCTGTGCATTATATGCAAGATGAAGGAGAAAATGATCATCAAAGCAGGCAAGCGACAAAGGGATCAACTGTGTAAGGCTGAAACATTAAAAGCAGGTAAGCAAACCCCCTCCCCCACCCACACACTACACACACACCACACACACACACACACACACACATTCTCTGTGGTTGAATAACTGAAAGGTACAATTATGTGTGAGAGATACGTCAACAAACTCATTGAGTTGTCCTTTTTTTTTTCCGTTTAGGCAAATTGCAGAAAGCTGCTGAGAAGAAAGATGACCAAAGTGTTCTTTTACATATAAAAGACAAAGACTGTGTGGCTCTGGAGGTGCGGTACCACAAAAGCTGTTACAGTCAGTACACCATGTTTTTGCTGAGACCTGACAAACCAGAGACAGAACAGTAAGTTATTTCTCCTTGGATTGCTTTACCTATTTGCACTACCACCAGACTGAAGTCCAGGTGTGTGTCGGCGATGGCTATATATATATATACACATACACATACTTAACATTATAAGTAAACATCCAATTTCCTTCTGTTATATGTGCACACAATCACAACACTTATTCATTTATCCATTTATTTACTTCTCATTCATGTGTTGTAGGGATGAGGCAATGTTTGATGCCGGTTACAAGCTGTTCTGTGAGAGGATCATCCGCCAGAGGCTGCTTGTCAACAATGAGGTGCTTAGAATGGGCCAGCTGAGGCAGGCCTTCATTGACATGGTGAAAGCAAACGAAGGTGTTGATGCTTCAAACTACAGGTAACTGCAATGTAATACAAGTCTTATTATTTATCATGTGCAAGGCCAGCTTTAAACAAAATGTGTATGACAGGCCTGTTTGGAGAAACCCCCATGATGTGTAGTGTGTAGTGTTGTTTGTGATGATGTGGGCCTTTATTTGGCTTCTTTGGTGTTAAATGTGCTGTATGGCAGATAGGTTCTAGTCTGTAATGTCTTGTATCACCTCCACCACTCTGCTTTTGATGGTACTCCTGTGACTCGTAATTGTCACTGTTTTGTTGTGTTACAGACAGGATCTGTTGAAGAAGAGGCTGGCTCAAGATTTCCCTCAGCTAGCGTTTCACATGCCCACCAAGCGCAACGTCTGCGAACTGGTTTTTGCTGAGACTCTGTCAAAGGATGCACTCGTGGACATGCTACCAGATCCATCCGGTACAGAAACAACACAGTCCAGTGAATTGAGCCAGACAGACAGCGACAATGAAACAGGGAGAACAAAGTGCCAAACAACACATGAGGACACAAGGACACTGTATACAGCAGCGTTGTTTTTGAAAAGACTGCTTAGTGACACTCCTGGCATGTCATGCCCATGGCCTCCCACTTCTGAAAATGTAAATGTCACTGAATCTCAAACTGTTGTCCCCATTGGACTATACAATCTGCTCAGCTGGATTATAGGTTCCACTGAGGAGCCAACACTGGATCATTATGTCAACATTGATGATGACGTACATTTGAAAGTGTTGTCTGTTTGTCAAGACATTGTGTACCTTGCTTCCAAGGGCCGCAAGCAGACACCCAAGTCCTTGGCTTTAGGTTTAACTGTTCGACATTTAACTGGATCATCACGCATTGTATCACTGCTTAACAGACTGGGACATTGTGCATCATGGGACACAGTTTTGAGTCTAGACACTAGCCTTGCCCAACTGACACTAGTAGAAGGCAGAGACAAAATACCGAAGGGATTCTCAAAGCGGACACCCACAACACTTGTGTGGGATAACATTGACTTTGGTGAGGAGACACTATCGGGTCGTGGAACTACTCACCATACAAATGGAATTATGCTCCAGAGTGTGCCCGGCGAGCCTATGTCCACAGCAATCAGACAGCCACTGAGAAAGGGAGTTACCTCATTCATAGCCCCCCCCCCCAATGCCTATACAACCTTACCATCAGTCCAAAAGGCAAGGGCCACAGAACTTGTGTCAACCAGTGCAGTCAGCGACATGCAGAATGGACACCCACTTTGCTGTACAAGCTGAAATGGCATATGCTTTTGTGAAGTCCACATGTACGGATAGTTGTACAATCCCAAGCTGGACAGGGTTCCATACACTGCTTCAGGATGAAAACACTCTGCAGAAGTCCGCATTGTATTATCTTCCAGTCATTGAAGCCTCACCAACAGAGATGTCAACAGTCAACACTATCCTGAAGCGAAGTGTCCAGATTGCTGACCAGCTAGAACTGGATCATATAGTTTTAGTGTTTGACCAGGCTATATATGCCAAAGCACAGCAAATACGCTGGAAGGATGTTGAGTTTACAAAGCGTCTAGTGATTAGACTAGGTGAATTCCATACATGCATGTCCTACCTGAGTATTCTAGGCAAAAGGTTCGGAGATGCAGGACTGCAAGATATCCTCATTGAATCTGAAGTTGTTGCCCCAGGATCCATCAATGGGGTACTCAATGGCCATCACTACAATCGCAGCATGAGGGCTCATAAACTTCTATATGAGAGTCTGCAGCGCATCCGGTTTATCACCTTCATGGACTCCTTGCCACCCCAAGAGAGAGCTGCGTGCATGGATGTCATCACTGAGATGGAATGTGCCTTTCCAGACAGATTGATGGATGTTTTGAGTGCAGATCAGAGGTTTGATAATATGTGCTCGAAATATGCAGACTTTGTGCAGAGGAGGAGTACAGAGAATGCAACATTTGCTTTCTGGAGCTCATACATTGACATGATGCAGCTACTCCTCCTGTTTGTGAGAGCAACGCGAGAATCAAACTGGCAGCTTCACCTGTCAACCGTCCGGTTAATGATGCCATGGTTTTTTGCCTACGATAGAGTAAATTACGCTCGATATTTACCTGCATACTGGCTGGAAATGATGAATCTGCCTGTCACACATCCCTCTTGCCACAGTGACATGAATGTGAAAGGCCAGTGGACTGTCCAGCGACAAAGTGTTCATGGATTTGCCTCCATTGCTTGCGACCAGGCTATTGAGCAAACGCTTAACAGAGATGCCAAGACCAAAGGTGGCTGGACAGGGATCACACAAAATCGGTCTGCAGTGTATCGCTGGATACTGTCACAGCATGAAAGAGCCGCGATAGCAAGACAGTGTGAATCAATGGCAGGGATATCTCCTGAGCTACGGACAAGAAAAGACCTGGACAAGACACGCATCTCTGCTGATGCAAAGGCTGTGAGTAGAATCTTGGACACTATTGATTCCATGCTCAACCCTTTTGATGTACACCAACACGGCATTGTGTGTCTTAGCTCTGGAAGAGTAGCAACAGGAGAAATCACAAAGGATTTGCTTGTTGCCTCAGAAAAGGGTGAAAATGCTGTAAAGGAGTTTATGGAGCAGAGACTGTTATCCAAAACAGTTGACATATTTGCCCCCATAATATCACAAAAACTCAAGACTCTCAGTGATCAGAAAAAGCCCCCCCAAAAATCTGCAGCAGGCAAGGAAGTGATTTTGCGTGCTGACAAGAAGTTATTTTCCAGGCTCCTCATCCTTGGCCAGAGCAGGAAAATTGAAATGAGGGAAATTCTGTCATATTCCTTGGGAACTGTGTCATATCCATTAGCAAGTGCTGATGGTTCACTTGCCAAAACAAACAAATCAGCTCTCATGGATCTATTGCAGAGCAAAGGTGGAGAGTGCTTGGTTGACAAAGTTCCAATAGGTGGTGCCATTCTTTTTGATGGCATGGCAGTCATGCAGGCCATGCCATCCAGACCAGCAACATTTGGAGAGCTTGCAGAGACCATACTGCAGAGCATACTCCAACTTGCTTTGCATCACAAGTTTACACGCATTGATTTTGTCACTGACCGGTATCCACCCATCAGCATCAAAAGCCTAGAACGGTCCCGTAGAGCTGATGCAGGGTCACAACTAATAACAATCTTCAGCCCAGATCAGAGAACTCCAACCCAGTGGAAGAAGTTTCTCTCTGACGGAAAAAATAAGGAAGCACTGGCCGAATTCCTTTATGTGGCATGGACACATGCAGACCTCACAACAGTGGGTAAAAACCTCAGCTTGTACATTGCCCATCAAAATCAATGCCACTGTGTAACTGTCATGGAGGGTGTACAGTCTGTTGATGTTGTTGAAGACCTGCAGTGTGATCATGAGGAATGTGACACACGGGTGTTTTTACATGCCCAACATGCTGCACAGGAGCACAAAGCTGTCATCATCAAGAGCTCGGACACTGATGTGGCAGTCATTGCTGTAAGTCTGCAGGCAGATTTGCCATGCAGCTTATATGTGTTCACAGGGACTGGCAACAGGACACGGATCATTGACATTGCCATGGTGTCATCAGCTCTCGGAACCAGTGTGTGTTCAGCCTTGATTGGAATTCACACGTTCTCTGGGTGTGACTCCACAAGCGCTTTCTATGGCAAAGGCAAAAGAAAGTCATTTGCTGTTGCATGTGAGAAAGATGACTACCTTAAGGCTTTCAGAAGTTTAGGTACTAACTTTGACTTGGAGCAATCAACATTTGCACTTCTTTGCCGGTATGTATGTCACCTGTATGATCAGCCAGCAGCCGAACATGTAAATGATGCTAGGTACAAGGCTTTCTGTATGGCATCATCGGCCTTGCCAGAATTAAGCATTCCCCCTACTCATGATGCCCTCCATCAGCACTGCAAAAGGGCAAATTACCAGGCAGCAATAATGAGGTCCTGTCTCAAAAGAGAAATGAATGCTCCATCACCTGCTGGATATGGTTGGGAAATAGAGGATGGGAACTTACACGTCACCTGGATGACAAGAAATCCTGCCCCTGACAGTGTGTTGCATGTGATACACTGCAGCTGCAAAGAGTCTGCCTGTGAGAAAGGCAGATGTTCATGCTTCTCTGCAGGACTCTGTTGCACAGACTTATGTCGTTGCTCAAATTGTGCAAATAAAAAAGAAACAGAGGAAGAGAACGATGACTGCCCTGACACTGACAGTGAGGAATAGGAATAAAAGAGCCTTCTTTCCATCTTTCTTAAGCTCTTTTCTGTTCTTTTGGTTTTAGTGCCTGGCCGACGCGCTCACACATCACTCATAGATACGTTTGTTTTTGGTACTAGAACAGAGTATAATCAGCAGGACTCTTTTAACCAGCTGAGGCAATCACAGCACCAATCAGCCGCTCCGCCCAGCCTGACACCAATCAATTATACTACATTACATGTCCTTCTACTGTTTTCTATGTCATACCTTTTATATTGTAATAAATCTCGTTTTTATGGTTCATCAGTGTTGTTTTCATTTGTGGAGGGATGAATGAGTAAATAAATGAATCAATGGACATTGGTATAAGTAAGGCAAGGCAAGTTTATTTATATAGCACTTTTCAACACAAGGCAATTCAAAGTGTTTTACAAAAAATTAAAGACATTAAGAAAATGGCATTTAAAATCAGTCATTCAAAAGAAAAGCTAATAAAAGAAACATTAAAAGAAAAAATACATGGATAAAGTTACAGTGCAGTCTAAGATATGAATAGTTCAATTAAAAGCAGCAACAAAAAGAAAAGTCTTCAGCCTGGAAGTACTGCATTTTATTGATCTAAATTACTTAACGTAACAAGTTAACCTTCTTCTTGGACGCAGAAATCAAGTCATGTTTATTTTAAGAGTGCATTTAACGTGTACAGGGTAACAACAGACAGACAAAAAGTCCTCAGTCTAATGGAATAATCCCAATGAACCTAGCGATGTGAACATGGCAGTCCAGGAATGATAGTTTGATAAATATGAGTTTGATATACTTTATTAATCCCCGTGGGGAAATTGTTTGTAGCTGGAGTTGGCTGATAAACGCTGCTAGTCAATGTTGATTCGATGGTCAACTCTGTTCCCAGATAGTAAAACCTCTCACAAATACCGCGTATATAACGCAAATACCTCGGACTTAGTGATGTATTAAGACATATGACAAAACATGACATAAAACAAGCATACAGCACTGTTTAGAATCCATTTGGTCTGGTTTAGCGTAACCATGGCGGCCGCCATCTTTCACTTCTGTTGACAATATGCAGCTACCCAATTGGTGTAGCACGATCACGTGACGAACCGTGGCACGACTTTGGACCAAGATATTATTACGCTTCGAAGGGACTAGTTCAGCCAATAATTACGTGCCTAGAAGAATTGGCAGGAATTTTAGCGACGATATTTTTTTTGGTGGATAAGCATGACTCGTTCTTTTTTATGAACTAAAGATTGTGTAGTTTCACTTCTGTGGAGCGGGTTGAAACGATAACAGGGTTCACCTTATGGCCTATTACTTAATACCATTTTTCAAATATTTATTTTTTAACATTTTGGACAAAATAGCCAATTGTACATCGAGGTGCCCAGATGTCCCTAGGGCCCACCTATCCGATTTGAACATGCTGATGTACAATGTGATGTAGTAGCCTAATGCAGGTGTAAGACCATTGTGTTTGTATTGTGTTATAGGTATGCATAGTGTTCTATGCATTTTGAGGGTTTTGGGGGGTTTGACCCCTCGAACCCTAGGGGGCTGGCTCCCCCAAAAGAATTAAATAACATAACCCTAACACCGAAATAAAGTAACAAAAAAAAGTAACTAAATCCGCCAGAAACCCGAACATCTTTGCGTGCGCGCGGGGGACACATGCCTGTGTCCCATTTTTCTATTTCTGGAAGTTGGCAACCCTAGTGAGAGGTGAGGAGAAAAATGCAACAAAAATGGTCAAACTCCGTTAATATATGGATGAGTGGGGGCGGGGGCTGGACACAGGCCGTGGGGGGACACCCGAGACCGGGCAATGTCCCCGGTAGAAACCGGGTGAAATAGCCAAAAAAAATAATAATAATAACACCGGGGAAAAGTGAAAAAAAGTGTCCGAAAATAGGCACTCGTGAGGCGGGCAGAGTCCCCTGTCAACTCCCGTTACATTCCTCCATGGTGTCATTTGAGCGAAAAACTTTTACAAGAACTAGGCTGGGGGGTCAAAAGGGCTTGACCAAGGCCGACCCAAAGTGCACGGTGGGCGGACTCATCACCTCCGTGATGAGTCTCCATTGTGATTTGAAAACTTCCATCAAACCAGTCCTTCGGTGGGCGGGAAAAAAAACGCGTCAGAATCGTCGCTTCCTGTACTGGAGGTGTCCTGAGAGTGGAGGTCTGCAGGCAGACTCCCATGTTCGGAGTAAGCAGCCTACGCGGTCCACGGAGGACCCAGCCCACGTAGACCGGGGCTGCTTCTCAGGTCGATTAAATTAAATCCTTGCTTCCCTCACTTGCGTCGTTTCCCTGCGTTTAGTCCCTTCCACCAGGGAAGCATGGAGGGACGGAAGGAAACCACGAGAAGCAGGGAAATGAGTTTTAAGAGCAATGGGACGTCCTTTCCTCCGGAGCGTCACGTGAAGCGACGTCCGTTTGTGATGACGCTACACAGCTGATCGTCTGACAGCAGCCAGCTCTGTCCCGTTATTTCCACACACCCCCGCCTCTGTTAGTACACATTTACTGACACAAACATTTGTATCATCTGTTGTAGACCCCAATAAATAAAATAAAAATAAGAACTAATTCTCAAAAAAGATAAACGCCATTCTTAAAATTTGATTAATATTGATTAGAGTGCACAATAGAAATAAAATAATTGAGAGAAGAAAAAGAGATATGTTATCTATCAAAACCCAGTTAGATTAACATTCATTGGATTGCACACGTTGTGTGTTTGTGTGGATATGTAGCAATAGCATATTAACATTTTAATAGCACTTAATGACTGACTGAATGGAAATGACAATAAATGAAAATGTAAAACGAAAAAAGCGATCATGAAAATGTTTCCAAAAAATGAATTAAATGATTTTTGACCACTTTGTTGTTCAGATATATCACATATTTGTAACTAAATGATACATGAATTGAAACAAAACACGGTATAAACTGAGGAGTGACTCCCGTGAGGTTCATGTATTTTCTTCACTCTGCTCTCATGTCAAGAAGCATCAGATCAGCATGCACTGCCTCGTCCAATCAGTGAGCGATACACAGTAAGGGGGCGGGGTGAGTATCTGAGGATTTCATCGGAGGATGGTCTGGTGCAGAGCCCTAGAGAGATAAGAGTTACGACACTCCCATAGACCTCCGTTGTAAAAAATGGCGGCGCCTACTTCCGGGGTATGGACATCGAAATAGTTCAAAATATTGTCATTTGGGCGTTGAACCTCATTCACTTATATTACGGCGCGTCGATTAGTTCCAGAGGTAAGTTGCTGAAATATCGAACTCTTTTGAATTGTCAACTGTCTATATTGTATCAGAGGCCCTTTATGATGCTTATACTGGTCTTCATTTGTATATGCACAGCGTAATTATCTATATTTTATCTTGGTTGTTACAACCAATTTAGCTAGCATTGCCTGCTAGTTAGCTAGCGCGACTTCGTCAGCTTTGAAGGTAAGATTTCAGTAATGAATCGCTAGCAGCTTATATATCAATGATGCTGGCTAACTAACAAGCAGGATTTAGATTGATTATGTGTTTTTATTGTTATTTTGGTTTTTATCCGCTGAACCTGACCGTGTTAGCCATCCTTAGTCGGCTTTTTCTGTATGATATGACTTAACTGCTAGCACTAGTAGAAATGAGGTGGCGTTTGTGATAAATATTTCATTTAATATTTCATTGAATTTTGGGATATACTAACATTTCATTATGTGACATGTTGACTGTACTTTGTTTTTTTTGTACTGTTCCGTGTTAACTCATCTGTACTGTACAACTAGCCTCGCGCTACTTTGTAATGCTTGATGGCATGCTAGGATAGATTCCTTTGTATTGTAATATACACACTAGTTTAATGATTGTTCTTCAAAGGTATTATTCAGTCTTAAACAAATAATAGCCTACTGAATAGGCTACTCTACAGCAGTGAATGAAGGATGAGCCTTTTAGCAACTATACTACGGACGTGACTGCCCTGGCAGTGACAGCAACATAGCCTGCTTGTGCTACCACACTTTCCCCTCAACATATCGTTAAATAACGAAACTTATAAATAGTGCCAATCCATACAAAGTGTAACCACATCATGTAAATATGAAAGCAATCTTTAAAAAATAACAGCGTTGGTTTAATCTGACTATTTTGACCATGTTTGTGCTGTTTTTGCCATAGAGAAGCATTGCAACGGAAGTGCGTTTTGAACTATCCCGGCATACATAAACCACGTGACCGGCTGGCGGCGACATCAAAGAGTGTTATCGCTCCTCCATGATCGCTCCTCGATCCTTGGTCCTCCGGCAGAAATAAGAGCCATGGGACGGTACTCAAGATGGCGCAGGCAAATCAACTTCCGGTCAGACCGAGGACCGAGGAAATGAAAATAGTCGACCTGAGAAGCAGCCCGGGTAGGCTGGACCGAGCGGCCTACGAAATGAGACGGTCTAGCCTACGGAGCGCTTCGTATTTACGTCACGTGATACGTGCTGTTCGGTTGCGTTGCTCCAGCAGCCTGCTAGCAAATTAGCTGAAAAGGATCCAGAAACTGTACCTTTAAATTTGTTGGAGATCACCGTCGGCGATGAAATAAAGAGAACCATGGCCAGGTAAATAAGATGAAGCTGTTCCTTTAGCCCCCAGTAATGTTACATTAGTAAGTTAACAAATAAATTAAATATAGCTGATGTAATTTAATCATATTATTTCATATTTAAAATAAGTCTTAATTTTTCTGTACTAATCTTATATTAATAGCTGTGATCATAACAGTTTATATTCTCCTTCTTCCCCTGAACCATCCCAGATGATGTCCCACTGACACCATTTCAGCACCTCCAGGTCCATCAGCACCGTGACCCCTCCTCCGCTCTGCTGAAATACACAATTAAACATTTTCTATGACCTATTTTTTGTATTAATAAAATTAAACTGAAGACAGTTGAATGACCTAGAGATATCCTATTATTCCACTGCTTATGTACACATGTATGTTGCACATGTTGTAAATAATGGTTAAAACCTCAGTAAATGAAATAAACAATGTGTTTAACAATTACAATTTAATATTGTATTTTCATGTTATCACAAAGTAGAGGTAAGAATATATCCATCCTCTCTCTGCAGCTTCATGTCTTCTATTATTATAACTTTCATCATTGAGACAGAGGAAATCAATCATGTTATTTAACATCACCAGCAGTAACACAAATATCAGCAAAAGTGTGTTTATGGAGTTGTTTATTTGTATTGTATGTGCAGCAAGTATATAGAAGCAGCTGTTTGGGGAATCAGACAAACTCACGCTATAATCGTTAAATATCTATTAAAAGAAAGGACACATACCAAATCTAATTCTGAAAGTAAGACACGAGTCTGTAGGACGGCAGTAAGCAGAGGTCTGGGTGGAGGATGTTCCTGATCGCCGCTTTGCTTTCTTCAGCACCTCGGGGGGTCCAGGTGGATGCAGCTCTGTCCTGATGATCCGCTGAGCACTTTTCAGATTAGGGGTCCTTCTCCAGCAGATCCATTTCTCCAGAATTTTCCTAATTACAGAGAAAAACAAGAGAAAAATAAAAAAGTGAATTAATCATATTAAACACAGGGTTGCAGAATTATTATTGCTAAATTTAACTCTCAGCATTTCAGACAAACAATCCCTAAAGGATCATTTAAAATGATGTACTGTTCTGGTTTTTAAAAAACTAAAGAGATGAAATGACACGTGCATCCCTTTGACAGCACGGCACAAACTAACATCAAGCAATAGGATGCTGTCTATTTTTGATTGTCTTGTTATTATGGGATTAGGATAAATTAAATACACTTTAACCTAAATAAAAGATGATCAAATCTGGTGGAAATATTTAAAATAGGCTTTTCTTTTAGCCTTACCTCAAAGCAGCATGTGAGCTGAATACAAAGGTTGTAATGTTGTCCCAAAGTTTAATAAACAGTAAAAACATGTCAGAAAAATAAATAAAGCTAACAGCAGCTACACGTCAGGGTAGCATTTTATAAATCCCACCGTACTGTAGGCTATATCGGTCTAAATGTTTTCACTTTGGTCTATTTATGTAATATAAAGTATAACCAACAGAGCCAAGATCTCTGTATGACTTTAATAAACTTCTGAAGTGAATTAAAAATAAGTGAGGGTTGTATTTTCTGACACTTAGTGAGTTCCCTGACACACCGGGGACACATATTCATGTATAAAAGATGTACAAGAGTGCATTTTGCATGATAGGTCCCCTTTAACTTAAAGCCCCCTTGTCATGCTTTTCTGGTTATCACCCGTCCCCTTGTGTGTTATGAAGGTTGTTCTGCATGTAAACGGTCTGCAGAGTCACAAACCCTCAAAGTGCACCCTGTAGCGAGTAAAACTCGAACACAGAAAAGACCTGTCTCTGCTGCCTCAGAACGCCTCGTTGGAGATTTCTCTTTTTCCATTGTTTGCTTCCTGGGTTCTGTGACGTGTGAATACCCAGATCAACAACAAATGACCGGATTGGCCCAAATGGACCAATCCGCGGAGCACCTCACTCACCAGGATCCCTTGGCTAACTAACAGGGAGTCCCATTGACTTGCATAGAGCTCCCTGAGCGCTGGTAATAGACGAGTTGGGATCGTGGAGAAATGCTCTCCGCAGACCCATTCTCACAGCGCTATAAACCTTTTTCTTACTCAATATCAAGCCACACTTATTGTTTTTACTTCGGCTGTGAGAGTTTGTGTGTGCTCAGGACCCGGAAATCCCGTTTGTGTCCCCCCACTTTACAAATATGTTTATTATTATTTTTTAACGCAAACCGTCAACGCCACGGAGGAGCACACAGCCTCTGTGAGTGAGCAAGACAGAGGGAGAGAGAGAGAGAGCAAGAGAGCTAGGGAGAGAGGGAGGGAGTGAGAGAGAGGGGGAGCGAGAGAGCTAGGGAGAGCACACCTTTATCTATTTAATTTAGATAAAGTAAGAAATCATTCCAATGTAGAGTATATAGGACAGTAACAAAAACAGTTTAAAAGGGGAGTGATTAGTAAAATATGTATACATAAAAAGAAAGAATGCTAACTAGGTAACATAAGATAAGAATAAAGAGGTTTAAATGATTTGTTATTGGTTGTGATCATATTCTAAAGATGTTTGCATTATTGAAATGTATACAGCTCCCTTTCATCTGAGTGTTGAGAGCTGTATCCATACATTAATTTTGTGCTCAAAGTGCACCAGATTGATGCTTTTAACTTCAACATTTAAAAAAACATCCACCCCCAAATAAAGCAGGTTAAAATAATTTAATTGCATACATGTTCTTTTAGTAAACACTGCAAACGGGTCCCATAGACCCGAACAGCACACAAAGGTTAAAGGTCAGCATATAATAATGTTAAAATGTGCTAAATATATACACTGCAAAAAAACTAAAAAGAGAGGAGTAAAAGTAGCCCTCGACTTGTTTTATTTTTAGAAAGTAGCCCTCACCCTAAAAAAGGTTGGTGACCCCTGCTTTACAGAGATGCTGTATGAGAAACCAATGTAAATCTATTCTTGTAGATCTCAACAATGGAATTATGATCAGTAGAAATGGCCATGACATGGGACCTTTAATGTAAATTCTATTTTTAAGCTTAGTGACACACTCTTGGTAAACACATGTTGGAATCTGCAATAAGAAAACAACAATGACAGTGATCTATGTGAAAGATCTATTCTTACCTCACATGGCCTGTTTCACCACACCATGGTATATGCCCCATATCTTTGCAACATCCCTAGATAAGCTAGCTTGATGCAAACAGGGGATTTAAACATGACCATACAGAACCACAGACTGATCACTTAGTTAGTGACAGGTTGTTTCATGTCAGAGAAGTTGCAGAATTGCAGCTTTAAGACAGTTTGCTCTTTGGAATCACAACAGGAAATGGTATAGATCCTCAGAAGCAGGGTTAGGGGTCCCTTCTCTCTCCCAGCCCCCTCACTCTGCCTCTCAGTGTGTGTCATCTGCAGCCTGGCAGTTCTTTTTATAAATAACCTCATATAGGGAGTTGGCTTGATTTGAAGGAGCAATCCTTTTCAATCAGAAGCCCAGCAGCACAAATTAAGACAAAGGGGTCATCTAATCTTTCATTGTATAATCACATAATAAGTAATTACCACTTAACAAATTAACAAAAGCTTTTCCAAAATAGTTTTAGCATTAATGAAGATGTTTTTCCATTTTGGCCACATATTAATAGGCATCACTCATAATCAAAGGTCCATCTGAAATTCATCAAAGGAAATATGGTGAGTGTAAGATGTCAGGAAGTGGCACATCGAGACATTAAAACAGTACGGCTTGGAGAGTAATGGATTACATGTATCGGGATTACATAAACAGGACCAAAAAAAGGTAACTGTATTCCCTTACAGTTACATTAAAAAAAAGGTAATGAGATTACTGTTACATTTCTCAAAAATGTATTATTAGCAGGATTATGTTACATGTGGATATTGACCAAATCTAAAAGTTATCTGGTTAGTTTTGATATAAAATACACTGCAAAAAATGGCTATGAAATCCACAGTTATTTACAGTGTTTGTGCACAGTAAATTACTGTATACCATTTTAGAGTATAATACCGTGTTTCCAACCAAAAATTACAGCAACTCTGGAGTTACTGTAGAAATAGAAGTAGTAACGTCCCAACTGTATACAATCACAGTAACCAACAATGTACTGTAGATCAGGGGTTCCCAACCTTTATTGTGCCAAGGACCGGCAGATACATAAAAAGAAAATCGCGGACCGGTTGTCAATTTTAACTGATTTTAAAATGTACTCACCACCAGCAGGTAGCAACAGAGGCTAATTGTATGTAGCCTGAACAAATACTAGAACAATATGCATCCAAAACATATTAATGTTTAAAAAATAACCGGTGTCGTTTTTTGGTTTTTCGGAATAATGGAAAACCAAAAAACCGACGTTATTCAGTTTTTAAACCAAAACGGGAAAACAGATAAATCAACGTTTTGGTTGTGTTTGTATGATTTACGGATAATCCAGTGATGGGAAAACAAGGAGAAGGCGCATTATGAAGTGTGTGTGTGTGTGTGTGTGTGTGTGTGTGTGTGTGTGTGTGTGTGTGTGTGTGTGTGTGTGTGTGTGTGTGTGTGTGTGTGTGTGTGTGTGTGTGTGTGTGTGTGTGTGTGTGTGTGTGTGTGTGTGTGTGGTGTGTGTGTGTGTGTGTGTGTGTGTGTGTGTGTGTGTGTGTGTGTGTGTGTGTGTGTGTGTGTGTGTGTGTGTGTGTGTGTGTGTGTGTGTGTGTGTGTGTGTGTGTGTGTGTGTGTGAGTGAGAGAGAGAGAGAGAGAGAGACTGGCATTTGTTTTCAGAAGATATTATGATAGTGATGTTCGTTCCGGTGCACGTCCGACAGCATTTAGCACTACATCGAGATTAAGATTAAACTAATTTATTTTGGGAACACCCGCATATAGGCTACCTATGGAGTTGCCAATTCAATAACGTGCTTTGACCACCAGGTGTCCCTTTCTATCAGCTCTGCACGGTTATGGTGTAAATACAGCCTATCTACCAATTGGATCAAATATAAAAGTCAGCCGAATTAGTGTTGATACTGCAAGGAGACGTATTGTGTGAAAATAAATGTAAGATGTTGTTTAATTGCTTATATATTTATGATCCACGTCACGTTTTCAGTGTTGGCGGCAGTTCTCCTGTTTGTCTAGAAGTCTTCTCAGCAGGGCTCTATAAATAAAGAACTACGGCAGATATGTAATATTTAATGCAGCCGAACCGTGTATTACAATGCCGTTATGTGATGACTTTCAAAGAGAAAAGCAAGCACACTCGGAATAAAGTATTATTGTATTTTTTAAAAACGTTTTCAGATTTCACATCACATAAACACCAAATCCCAGCATGCATTGCGGATAA